CTGCCCTCTCCTCATGTGAGAGCCGGGGATGTGAACACTAACCACTAAGGGTTGTGTAGAAGATTAAAGCACAGAGATGCCCAGAATGGCACCACACACATAGTAGGGATCAATAAATGGTGGTTTTATTCCCTCCCATCCTTACCAAGCTCTTGCCAGACAAAATATGAAAAGTTTGGTGAAACTATGAAGAAGATGAGCTCATAAGCCACGGATGGAGTATTCATAAATGCGTGTAGGAGGGGTTTTTAGGCCGGATCGAAACAAAAGGAGTGGAGGGCAGGGCCCCCTCTCCATGCAGCAGCGATGAAAAGGAGAGCCAAGCCACTCCCTACCGGAGGGGAAGGTGGGGGGGGGGGTGATCAAGGTGGCCGGGGCATACACTGGCTTCCTAGCCATCATGTGTTGCGTGGGACCTGGCGGAAGCTAAAGCCAAGGGTGAGGATGTTTCTCCTCCGTTGGCGGAGCCAGACAGACGGTGAGGTTCTGGAAATTTTCCGGGTTGCTTTCTCAGATCATTAAGGACCTCAAGAAGTGAAAGGTCGGATCATCCTAGTGACCGTTCTCAAGCCTGCGCTTCTTCAGGACAAGGCAGGACTTCGGGACGCTCTGATCTGATAGTCACAGCTTTCCCGTAAGTTTCTTTACTTGCTCAAAGGGCCCCAGGGGGAGATCCGAGCTGGGCAGGGGCACTGCACAGAGGTTCCCTCGAGGCCCATCACTTCACTCTGCAGGACCACCCCAAGTTCGAGAGCCACAGGCCATTTGGCAGAAATGATTCCCTGATTCTGAGGTGCCTACGTGAGTGGCATTTCTGTGGCTGTCTCCACAGAGCAAACCTAAGGATGTCACTGAAATTTCAGAATCTGCCCTATTTGCAGAGTCTTGGTTTAACCGTAACTGATAAAGCGCAGTGACCTCTGCCCACCAAAGAAAGCAACAGGCTCCCTCTCCTTTTCACACTTGGGAATTTAACTTTCCAAGCCAGCCTGCAGTTTTTATGATTTTTGTGGTCCAACTCTGCCCAAAGTTTGCCCAAAGATTTCCAGAATACACATTTCTGGAAATTAAATAAGCTCCATTAACAGGCGTATACACCTAAAGTCAAGATGGGAGACACAGCCTAAAATACACCCCGAGTCATCAAGTGATTCATGCTGTTAACACCACACTGGTCACTGATGAGCATCGGGCCCTCTGTTCCTGTGAAATTTTATGCAAATGAAGATAGTTTAGGGCTACTTTTATTTTACAGCTGAAATCCAAAATGCTAAACAACAAGAATATGTTATTCAAAAAATAATGATGCAGCCACACGCATGTGGTTATCGAATTAAATGGTCCACCAGTGAAAACTCTTGGCTAAAAAGGACAAGACTCAGCCTAGCCCAAAGCCATTTGACTATTTGGGTAACGGTGGACAAGCCTATTTCCCAATTCCCTCCAAGGAAGAGGGATGCCAATCATTGCCTCAGAGGGCCTCTGGGAGGATCGAATGAGCTGTGTATAAACTGTATAACACAGTAGCCGGATCATGGTAGGCCTTCAACAAATACAAGCTCCATCCCCACCCACACCCCCCCCCTCCTGCCCTCTCGCCAATGTAGGCTCTACAAGAAGTCAATTGCCACCCCACTGTTACCTTTTCCTAGGAGTGGAAGCTAGCATGGTGGAGATGTGGTGATAAAACAAGCATTTACTGAACATCTACCATGGGCCAGACATGGTGCTAAGGTATACATCTCATTATCACAATAATAACAACATTAAATTATTATTAACATTATTACCAATGACAACGCTATCAGGAAGTTACTAATATAACCCCCATTTTAACGACAGGGAAACTGAGGACAGGTGACTAGCCCAAGGTCACATATCCAGGAGGCGGACAGTGCCAGGATCTGAACGCAGGCAGTCTGGGCTCTTCAACACTGAGCTAAGGTGCCTGGCCCTGAGCGGGGCGGGAGAGAGGTCAAGGACGATGGATGCTTGGCAGGCCAGGCATGGAGAGTGGGAGCCACAGGGGTGACGGCTGTTCCACACCCTCCTAGGCCCAAGCGGGAGGCTATGCGCTTTGGATGCTCTGACTAAAATAACCTTTTAGAAACTCACTTCCAAGCCTACCTTCTAAGGTCCTGGACATTAGCAACACTTCTTACAACATCTTGTCTCCTGCCATGTACTCTCCTCCTGGCAGCCAGAATGATCCTTTTAAAAACCAAATTGATGCCACTCTTCTGTCCAAAATCCCCAGTGGTTCCCCACCTCCAAGGCCCTAAAGAGCCACATCAGCCTCCTTGCTGTTGCTCCAATATGATACACAAATTCCTGCCCCATGGCCCTGCACCTACTATTCCCCCACCTACTATTCTCTCTGCCTGAAATGTGCTTCTCTCATGATTGCTTGGCTCAGTCCCGCATCTCCTTCAGGATCCTTGTTCAAATGCCACCTTCCTGGGGATGCAATACTCCCTCTGGTCCACTAATCCCCCTCCCTGCTTTCCCCCATAGCACCTTTTACCACCTGACATACCACATAGTTTATGCATTTATTATGTCTCTCCCACTTCCACTAGAACATCAACTCCATAAGGCCAGGGTTGCTGTCTGCTGTTCATTACTATATATCCAGCACTAGGTCATAGATCAGACTCTGGCATTTAGCAGGTGCTCAGTAAGCATTTGTGGAATGAATGACCGAGAATGATTTTTCACCTTCGCCCCACCCCAACAATCTCCCTGTCTACTCAGTCCTGATCACTTGGTTAGGCAGCGAACACATGAGTCCCTTAACCTCTTCCACCCCTGGCTTCCTTATCTCCAAATGAGAGCATTGGAGTAGGTTATCTGCAGAGTCCTTCCACGCCTGAAAACCTTCAACTGACAACAAAAGGCAACAATTCTTCACCACAGCAAGCTCGTAACTTCATTTACTTGATTATAAAAACCACATTTCCTTTAGCATTTTCCACAGCCAAGGCCCCGCAGCCCCCACGCCCCCAGAATAAGTGAGGTTTGGCTGAGCTGTGCTCTGTGACTTGTAACCTGCACACCAGGTCAGCATTAACCTCAAGTGCTGGGATCACTGGTCTTGTAAAATCGACCCAGGTTGGGTTACAAGGAAATAAACCAAACCACATTCGGGTGTCTCAGGATCAGAAGCACCATCTCTCCTTGTCCCCCTCAATTTCACACTAATTCCTGAGCAGCCCATGCTGTTGGTTTTGGGGTTTCGCCAGAGGCCCTCTGGAGAAGTAACAACATGGGGTGTTCTGGGCCAAAAGGAAAGGTGCTGGGAGGAAAGCAGACCCTGGTGTGTAAGAGAGTGTGCTGTGGCACGGCTGGGAGCTCAGGGGAAGCCCATGTCAGAGGGTCGCAGGTCCTTTGAGGCCATTCCATCTAGCCTACCTCTGACCCCAGGGAGCCTTGGGCCTTTGTTTCCCCATCTGAAACAGGGACTAAGGGAGTCTAATGCTCCACAAAGTGCCTACAAGTCTCAGCCCCACTTGGCCAATCTAACCCAGGCCAGGGTCAAGTTCACCAGTATCAGCTAAGGCCTACATTGACATTCTCTTGATGTTTAAGGTGTAAGTCACTTCTCAGACTGAATGCTGGGTCAACTGTATAACATTACTGCTTTGGTCTTTCAAAGATGCGCTACTAGCTTTAATGACAGAATCAATATAAACTCACGTGTTGGCTCTTTTGGAGTCCTTGCCTTCTCGACAGCCCCCAGCCTATGGCAGAGCCGTTGGCCCCTAACAGTCTCCGCTAACACCTATTAGCTGATCACTTCATACCAAGAAGTGAGAGGGCACAGTGGTTAAGCATATGCATCGGAGAAGTCAGACCTGGGTGAGCAGCCTGGCTGTCCTGCTCACTTCCAACGGGGAAGCCTGAAGCCCAAACATATTTCTGTGCTTCAGCTTCCTCGTCTGTAAAGTGAGAAGAAGAGCACCTCCCACTTAGGGCTGTTATAAAGATCACATGAATTAATAGTAAGTTAATATATGTAAGTCACGTAGTTGGGAACTGACATATAAGTGCTGACTCAATGATAGTCATAATTATTAGAAATTTCTTCAAATGACACATGACCCTAAGGTTTGGACTGGTCCTTCCTGGGGTATATTCTGGCATCTTGGTAATAATATGGGGCTCCGTGACTGAGTATATTCAAGCCTAGGCTAGTCACGGGGAGCAAAGAGATGGCACGCATGCCACCCACCCGCTCCCCTGACTGGGCAGGCATCTCTAATCTATCTCAGCACTCTTCTCCCTCCCGCTGCAGCCGTGGGCTGCTAAGACCCAATACAGAGCTCCAGGCAGCCACTAGGACTATGGGGAAACCCGCCTGCTGTCCCCTGACAACAGGCAGATATGCTGGCGTGGGAGATTCATGCACGGAGGCAAAGACCACTTCTGCGTGAGAATCATGAGAAACGGACGGAGCCTTGTCTTTCCCCTGCTGTAGACCCAGCACTTTGAACAATGCCTGCCACGCAGCAGACACTCAAATATCCATTGGGTGAATAAATTAGCATCAAATACATCTGGGCCCGTAGCACACAGCACTGGGCCTAACCAAGCAGGTGCTCAATGAATGAGGGAGGACGGTGGGATAGGCTTGCTGGACCCTCACCTGAGCTCACTGTTTCTGAATAGAGAGTGCACCCAGCTTCGGCAGGTTCAAGGCCTCGACACAGCCACTCACTCATCACATGACCATGAGCAGGACCTTTCCTCCCCGACTTGAGCAGCCAAAGGCCCGTTTAGGATTGAGTCATCCTTGGTTCCAGGCACAGGTGCCCACAGAGGACACCAGGAGGTCTGGAAAGTGCTGCCCACAACAGTCCATCCTCCAGGGAAGTACGGACACTTCTCAGAAAAGGGGCCTGGCCCGGACCATCCATCCTTTCGGGAGGAAGAAAAAGGCAAACCAGGGAGAGGTGGCTGCTAGTGGTGAGGGAGGCGTGGTGAGGTGAGAGCGTACCTACCTGCTCGCCGTGCTTTTCCGTCCAGCCGCACTGGCTCCGTCAGCCTGCAAAAGAAACCCGAACACCTGCATTAGCCAAGGGGGGAGACACAGAATTCTACCCTCTGCCACCCACCAGGCTGCTGCCCAGCACAGCCTTGGGACACGGGGGTGAGCTGGCTCTGTCCCCTGCTCCATTCCTTCAGGCTGGAAAACTCTGCCCCCAGTGGTGAGAGGGAGTCAGCACACCCCCAACCCACATTGGCTGGGCCCTTTAAATCCAGCGGAGCACCCATTGCCAACACAAACCCAGCAACCACAGAACCCTGGGGACTCCGTGAAAAGTAAGTAACCAGCTAAATCTGAGATTGAATTGCACCATTTTTATTTTCAGCTGGGATTTCCAATAAAACAGTAGCCGCAGATTTATTCCCACCAACCGGAGGGGGGAAATTCATTTATGTTAAAATATTCTGTCCCCCAACCCTCTGAGCAGGGGGAGGCAAGAGAGTGCTGGTTCCTAATCTCTTTATTTGGGGGCGGGGGTGGGTGGGGAAATAAGGCTGACCAAATTAAATTTTCAGAAATCATAAAATTTCCGATGGAGAGACTGAGGCCCTGGGGGAGGAGGAAGCTGGCTGCAGTCTCATGAGGACTGAGGGACAGAGACCTGGGGATCCTGACTCCCAGGCCAGTGCTGGGGGGACCGCACTGATGCAGAGGCCACAGACATGGGGGAAGGCCCAGGTTCCCCACCACCCCTGGTTGAAGAAGAAGCCCCTAGCTTTGTGCCAACGTTTAAAATAATGTAGCTTCAAAATGCTGGCACCCATGTGTTCCCAGATTCAGAATCCTTCCAAGTTTAGAAAGGTAACGTTGCCACATGTGTTCTGCATTTGGAAACAACCCTGGTGGGGTCTGGGGAGCCCCCAGGACTCAAGCACATTGATGTTCCTACAGAGAAACTCACACAGTGAGCCCCACTGGGATAGATGCAGAGGGCAACTAGCCTGTTCTCCCTGAGGTCAAGTCCTGCCACTTCATCGGCGACAAAAAAACCTTTCTTGTTTTCAAACTTTTCGCATTTCAGGATTGTGGATGAAGGACTGGTGACCTAAAATAAACACAGCAGCCGCTACCTATTGATGAGTGCTTATGGGAAGTTGCAAACTGGCAAAACCAGATGGCGAACTTCAATCCAAAGTGTAAATATATAAAAGTAAAGGCATTTCATCCCCCCCCGCCTCCACCACCCCCCCACACACACACAAAGGCCACATTTCAGCTTCTCTTTAAAAACCAGTTAATCCAGCAACACAGTCCCCACATGGCCATAGTCAGCTACAGCTGACATACCTCCTCCTACCCTTCCCTCTCGCCTCTTACACAGTCCTCCAGCCTGGCCCCTGTGGGCATCCGGACTCTCTCCCCCTGGAGAACTTCCCAGCAGGTGCTAGTGTATGACATGAAATGCCACTTATTTAATCCTCTCAATAGGTCCCCCAACACACATACACAATACTCCCATTTTACAGGTTCCGCACAGAGGGTCCTTCAGCCACTTATCCAACACCCCATGGTTACAAGCCCAGGTCTGGGTGACTCCAGCGCCTACCTTCTCAGCTCTGTAATATTTTATTGTCCACCAACATCCAGGAGAGCTAATGGAGAAATGGGGTGAGCCTACACCACCCCAACTGTCCACAGGAGGGAAGCAGAAAGGGGAAGGACAAATGGGGAGGGAGAAGCATGAGGCCTGGGCAGGAGAAATTAATGGGATGCCGGCGTATTATTTCAGTGGAAGAAACAAAGCAGAAAATGGTTTGCATATCATTTCACTGGGAGCAGAACAGGATCAATTACAGCCTCTCTCCAACACTGCATTCCTCCAAACTTGTCTGTAAAGCGAGCGGGAAGACACTGTTTTCACGTCCATATCGTAAGAGGCAGAAGTGGCGAGGGGTGGGAATTCTGATCCAGAGAGCCTAAAACAATGGTACAATCCCAAATGACCTCTCGCCTTCCAGACTCAACTCTGGCCTTCGATTTCTAGCATTTCATACATATTTTTAATGTTGTCTCTTGTCCCTTTCCTTCATAACAGAGTTGACTAGTTCCAATACAGGGGACGTGGCTGGGTACGAGAGAAGATTCTGGGTTTTGCACACCCGATCATCCCCAGCTACCTTGCCCTTCTATGATGCTTATGATACTGGAGCTTTGTATCACTGCTAGCAACACTCGTTTTTGTTTTCCAACCATTTTTATAAAATAAAGACAAAGTGCGAATAAAAATGTTCAAATAGTTGTCTAAACAAATCCCTTTGCAGAGACTAAGGTGGTGGCACAAGGGAAAACAAACGGATGGAGGAGGAGTGCCACCTTGGCAGGAGTAGAGCTGATGGACAAAGGGCTCAAGTCAGAACTGTGGACAACGGCACCTGTCAATCACAGCAGCTGTCAATCACAGCATGCGGGCCTGCGTCCAGACCAGGGGTGGGCAAACTTTTTGACTCGAGGGCCACAATGGGTTCTTAAACTGGACCGGAGGGCCGGAACAAAAGCATGGATGGAGTGTTTGTGTGAACTAATATAAATTCAAAGTAAACATCATTACATAAAAGGATACGGTCTTTTTTATTTTTAGGGGGCCGTAGTTTGCCCACGGCTGGTCTAGACCCACCGTAATGACAAGGACGACCCCTCCCAGCCCCAGTTGAAGCCCGCAGTGCTAAAGGTGCCAAGGCTCAGTGGTAGAGCTCCCTAAGAGGCCAGGCCAGCTTGCTGTGTGTCCTCACCAATCAATGCATCACAGCGACCCCTACTGTTCGAATCAGTTGCACCGCTGGCACTGCCATTTTCCTAGGCCCCAAGATTCTAATACCAGCACATTCATGTGACCCAACCTGAACCACAAACTCGGGGTAATCTGACTTGATCTCAATTTGAAGTTTAAGAGGACAGGGTTTAGACTCAGGCAGTCTGTGTTCGAGTCCCGGTTCTGCCATTTCCTAGCTGTATGCTCCTAGGCAAGTTTCCTCATCTGCGAAACGGCAATACAGTAATCCCAGGACCTCCATCTTGGGGCTGGCATGAGACTTACAACAAGGTAACTTACAAAGAGCAGCGCAGGTAAACGTACTTAGCAGGGCTCAGCTGCAGAGCTGGCCTGGGCAGCACCAGGGGTCTCCCCGGCCTGTCTCAGGCCTGATCTGAATCCCAGGCTGCAAGTCAGCATCTCATGGGCTTCCACCTAACGCCCCACCCCTGAACACGGCGGTGCAGATAGAGTACGAAGCGCAGGCCAGGCATGTGTTGCAATCGCTTTAGTAATGGAACCTCTACTGCTGTCGCCACTACTACTGGGCCATGTACTCCTAGAGGATATGCAGCTTCCTGCCCAGGCTCTGTCTGGGTCTCCCTTTGAACCTTGGGCAAGCTTTCCTTTCCCTGGACCTGAGCTTGCCCATAGGCAAGAATGGGAGCAGGAGCAGGAGAGCTAAGTTAGGTCACCTCCACCCTCTACGTTCATCTCTGTCATTCTATGCGGAGTTGACCCAACCTTACCCAACCCCTCGATGGCAAATGAAATGTGCTGGGGACAGTGGGCCATGAGAGACCCTCCTGCTTACTCTCTTAGAGGTGGGGGTAAAGACACCCAGACACCCCCAGCTCCCCATCAGGGTACCTAGCCCCATCCATTCCTTATATACCGGCTTCTCCTTAGAACCTGAGCAAGGCTATTTTTGGTTCCATTCAACCCTCCTTTTCCCTCCCCAAATGAATGTTAAGTTGCTCTTTTCCATTCTCTTATTAAGGATTTTCTTGGAAAGAAAATATTATTCCAAACCCAGAAATTTTATTTCTAAATTTGTGCAAATGTAAGTTGTAATACATTAGCTGCATTTCACATTTTGTGCAAATGGCAGAAACAGGCAATTCGTGTGCTACGGGATGGGGGCTGGCCAACGATTTCGATAAAATAAACCCTTTTTTAATTTAAATGCTAATGCACTGAATTAAAATTTAATAACTGAGGAAATTGAAAAGCCGAGCAGGAATATTGGAAATAAATCCAAGCAGAAACAGCTGAAATTAAAAATTCTAGAGAGTGGGAGGATAGCAGCTAAGCTGTCTTATATGATTACATTTTTTTTTTTTTTCAGAATGAAGCAAAAAAAAAAAAAAATCCTATCTCTCGCTGGCTCTGGGGCAGTAAATCCACAGTGCTGTGATTTATTGCTCAATTTTCCTGAGGGAAAAAGGCTTTCTTTCATGCTGAAATATTTCATAAATTTCAAGCCAGCATAAATTCTTAATTTAAAAGTTATGGAGGTCACATTTAGTGCACTGGTACGGTTCCAAAATCTTAAAGGAATAGAGCAACCAAAAAAAAAAAAAAAAAAAAAGCACATAGGAGGGGCAGAATTTGCTTTTTTTTTTCCTCCCCCTTTTTGGTTTTAATTCACAAGTTGAAATTTCATTATTAAAGATTCCTCCTGGATGGATGAAACCCAAGCACGTGGGGACCTGGTGTGTATTTGGAAATCTGCCTCACAAGATGAAGAGATAAAGATTTAATTCAATTATAAAAAGGCTTTTTTTCCCCCTTTAAGCCACTTGAGGAATTTCTGGTAAAAATTTCCTCCCTTCACTGCCCCGGAAGGGGTGAGGGTGGGGGAGGGTGGCCAATGTAATGGCTTCTCTTAGATCTCCAATCTTTTGTGCACACTGATATATTCATTTGTTATACAGCTGTTCAGCGGCGGAAAGAATGCTGGGGCGCCCATAATTCTAAGCAAATCAATCAAAAATTAATGATTTGTCATGCTTGCACAATGGAGGAAAACAGCTCCTTGGGTCCTGGCTGCCTGATCTCAGAGAATGAAATGCCTTTCTGGGAAAAGAGAGCCGAGCCAGAGGTTCAGGGAGGCTGGGGTGCCACAGCGAATGCGGGGGCTCGCGGTTCCCCCAGCTCAGAGGGGATGGAGGGGGCCGCCGCGCTGGGAGGGGGCATCTCCAACATGGCACCTCGGCCAGCCAAGCCCAGGGCCTGGCGCATTTCCGTGGGGGTCTAACTAGGATCTTGCCTTTTCCCTCCCCCACTGAAA